AGATAAAGATTATTACTGATTTCATGGGATCATGTCTGCAAGCCTACGTTAATTCCAAGACAGCACAGTAGCAAGAGTCAGTGTTGGTGGAGAAAGCTGGTCTGAATAAGCTCATGAAGGCCTGTGGGAGAAGACTATAAACCCATCTTTGCCAGGGAAGTACAACCAGGCTGGGTTGCCATGTCCTCCTGGGAGTCCCACCTCCTCTGAGCAGAACCGTGTGCAACCTCACAGCTTCTTCCCCTCTATGTGTGTTCAAGAGAGGTGGGATCCCCCTCCAAGTTACTGAGGCAGCCTAACAGGCTCTCTGGTACCTCACCAACCGCTGCAGTGAGGCTGAAGCACAAGGATGCCTCCTGCTCCAGCTGGGGCTGTCAACCAAAGTCACTCAGAGCAATCTCATTTCATGCAAAATCTGAACCGATTTCTTTACTAGAAGCAAAGGGTCATTGTAACCCAGGGAGACACTTACCTCAACACGCCTTTAGAGTCCTCAGCATTAATAATCTCTTGTGGGCCATGATATCAGGTTCTGCTCTGCTCTTACTTGATACCAACGAAGCGAGTGGAAGCTTTCGCCTCTGCCAAATCAAATTATAACCCAGGGAAGCAATATATTCTAGACTCATAGGGCATACAAATAAACAGATCATCTCAGTAAAGCTGTAGTAGAGTGTGGTGAGATGAGTGATAGGCAGTGGGTTTACGTCTGACTAGAGGATAAATAGAGTTCACTTGACTCATAAAATAATCACCTATTGAAATATCACTAAATTTAAATTTGCAATTTTTTCTTCCCCCCAAAGATTTAAGTAGCATTGATTGGAGTGAACTATTTTATAACTTGACTGAAGTTAATTCAGCTTTACATTTCCTTATGCAAACATTTACAGAAATCTGTGATAAATTGTTATGTGTTCCAGCAATGAAAGGGATAGTTAAAGGATCTTCCACTAAATGCTGAATTTGATTGAATTGTGCATGGAACTTCTGCCTGGTAAGACGCTCAAGGATGGGACAGAAGTGCGCCCCTGTAGGTATATACGAATTTGAAACAGCTAATTGAAATATGAGATTGTCATCCGGGGCCTGTCCTGCAAATTCAGTGGGGTGTGGAACAATCTCCACTCTAGAAGGCATTATCAACATTATTAATATTACCCTTCCTCAGGGTGAGATTGTCCTCACTGCTCTCATCTATCCATTAGTGCTGCCCTGAGAGAGTCCCATTCTGGCACCCAGTCACTGGGCTGCCCAGAGATGATGTCGTTTATTCCAAGGATATTGCCCATCACCATCATGCTGCTAAGGCACTCAGTTGCCTCCATCCCACATGTCCCAGGTCAGTGGCTGCATTGGCAAGCCATGAAGGAGATGAAAAGGAAGGCCCAGGCTCACTCTGACTATATGCAAAAATCCTGTCTCGCCCTGTGATGCTGGATGCTACAGAAATGATGCTAGAGAAATAAGCATGCTACCCCCCAAGAAAAGCAGCATTTGGGGGACTCCTTTGTTCAGGAGGAGGAGAAGGGATTCCTGCAGAGAAATAGCAGGAGGATGGCGAACAGAAGTACCACAATTTAGCAAATGTCACTGTGCAGCTCATGTCCCACCCCACTCTATACACTCAGGATGTACAAATACAGCATTTCCTCTCCTGTCAAACTCGAGGGGAAGAGACGAGGTCCTGATGTACTACACTGAGATGGGTCCCTGAGGTCACAGGGAGAAACGGACGCAGATGCCCCAAAGAGCAATGGTGAAGCCCACACACAGCCAGCCAGCCAGCCTCCCTCCAAAAGGGCTGCACGCTGGCCTGAAGACTCTGAAAATCTCACTGAAAACCCAGGTGTTTATGAGTGGAGGGGCCAGGGCCTTCACAGGGACAAACTGAAGTCCATGAGTCTGTCCCTTACGTCCAGGACAGGGTTTGGCTAATGACCTGCTCTTTGTAGACCAGGCAAATAGAGAGCAACCTGGGACTAATAGTGTCATAAATATGAAAAATGAGCCATGGTGGTCCCAATTCAAAGATTTCCCTTCCCTTTCTCTTCCTCTGACTGTGAAGTTTCCATCGCTCAGTTTGCCAGCAGAACCCAAGGCACTTTATGAAGCAGTTAAATGGCACCATCACCATTTACAAACAGGTAAGCTGGAGAGGAAGGTGTGGGGACAACCCTGACATGCAAGGGAGGGACAGGAGCCTTCATCCCCGCCTTCATCCGGCCCCAGACAGAGGCACTGATTCACATGCAGGAAGGATGACCAGGAAAAAGTGGGTGCTGGGTGCACTCCAGGCAGCCCTGCACCTTCTTCCAGTTCTCCAGAAGGATGGTCTAAAACAGAGGAGAGAGCTGTGGGGTAGCCTGGGAACAGCACTGGCATAAAGGCAAACAGAGGTGACTAAACATCCCCAAGGAGCCAACACGGGTCTCCCAGGCCCAACACATTACCCAGCCCCAACAAAAAATGCTACAGCCCTTCACTTGCATCTGCTGTCACTTAAATGGCATAGAAGCAGGTGTGAACAATTACCATCTGAAATCCGGATCGAGGACAATGTACTGTAATTATTACCTTAACAGCATTTCAAGACTATCAGCTCTCGCTGGAAGTAAAACTTCTGTTGGACACGTTTAATAAGCATATCATCTAATGCAATATTCGCACCGAGGGGCAGTGCGGCTTTAGGAAGGATTACAGTAGCTTTGCAGCTTTGCTTAGCTTTACATGGGATATTTTACATGCAACAGATAAAGCAGGATGAGCCCGAGATAGCTGAAAACTCACAGAGTGGCAGCAGCCTGGAAAACTACTTCCCATCTCACGTTAAGGAGGAGATTATAAGCTTACCTCACACACACAGACCTGGCTACACCAGATCAGTACTCCGGTTGCTTCCCCGAAGGCCTGCCAGCAGCAGCAGCCCGAATCTCACAGCCACCTCCAGATAATAGCTGGTTCTTCCCCCAGGTGGCCAGCCAAACCCTGATGAAGGCATCACATCAGTGTGTCATCCTCTGCCCACAGTGGGCTCCAGCTGCAGAGCTGTTTCTGTAAAGCCCCATGGGGACCAGATCCAACCTTCTTGGCAGAACTCCCTCTGTCTCCGTACGCTCATTGCAGAAGCTGGATAGGAAGCAGAAGCAGGCAGATGGCCCTGGGATCGTGTTAATTGGACTCTGGGGAGCCCAAACTCTACCAGACGCCAGCTCCCCACTCGGCACAGCCAGGTGAGTCTATATTCCCTACCGCCGCACGCCCTCCCCAAGCCTAGGAGCTCTGAATGAAGGGCTCAAACTCCCAGAAGCGATCACGCATCTCAAGGCTTGTGCTTCTCTCCGGAAAGAATTAACTGTCGAAGGAAGTAAGGGTAAGGAGGCAACAGGGATTTTCAACTAGCCCTGTTGGTTAATGCATTAACGGGGACATAAATTAAGGAAAAGGGCAAGCAAACAATCAAAAGATAGCTCAAAGGGTATACAGCACATCGTTAACCACTGGAACTCACTGCCACAAGGTACCGGGAAGCTCAAGTGGTTTGCCAGCTTTGTAGAAAGGTTAGACCTTTATAAGCCTATTAATAGCCAAAGTTACTCTTAATGAAAGACTGAAAAAAAGGACAAGAGCTTTGGAAGAGAAAAAGATACATCTGTTCTGAAATTCCAGTGAATTTATCCAATGCAGAAAGTGGCAGTCAGCAACAGAAACCAGACTGCCCTGTGCCCCGAGCCAGCCAGTCTATCTTTATGTAATGTCCTATATAAAACACTCGCATCCACACACTACCATGTTGAGTGTCTTAGAAATACCGCTCCGCTGACTCATATATGCATTGGTTTTTGCTCAGCTTTTGAACCGGCAGGTCGCCTGCTGTTAATTAATGCATCGCTGAAATTATGTTTGGGGGCTACTGAGGTTTATTGGGTAGAAAATTATTTCAAATACAGAGAGCAGGTAGTAAAAATTGGAAATATGTTTTCAAGTATAAACCTAATTGCTACAGGGAATCCCTTTGGGATCCATTTGGAGCTCTTGCTTTTTTATTTCCTTCCTCCGTTAATGACACAGCCAAGGTTTGTAAAACAGCAAATGCACAATTGCACGCTGATGATGTGGCACCTTGCACACTGGCAGCCAGCTCGAGGTGGGAGCTCACATCACATATTTTACCATCCTGGTGGTGGCCGGAGCAGAGCAGCACTGAGCTTCGCCAGCTCCACACCCTGTCACTGGTAGACCCTTGTGAAAGTGGCTCGGGCGATCCTGGACTCAACCTGCAGCACCAGCAACCGTGTTTGGTCCAGCTCTGGCCTGAACCATGGGCAGCACCAAAGGACTTTGTTTTTACATCCCAGTGACCCCAAAGTACCTGTTTGTCTGAGAAAAGCTATCCTGCCTCAAGGTGACATCTTGCTGGCCTCCAGTCATCCCGTTAGGAAGGAATAAGTCCTCATTTCCAGGGAGCTTTACGCTTCTTGCAGGCAGGGTCACTTGATTAAGGGAAAAAAAAAAAAAAAAAAAAAAAGGACCTTCCAAGCCTGGGCTCAGCAGCGGCACATCAGAAATCATTAGAAGGGGGTACCTTGAAGAGCATCTCATGAGGATGATGCAAAGGCTGGGGTGAAGAGCAAGGTGCTTTTTGGCTCCTGGCTGTGATGCCTGGCTCCACTGAAGTCGACATAAAACCCCTGCTGCCTCCCCCCAGGCAAGGATGTCACACGCTGCCTCCCAGCAAGGTGTTCATGCACGCTTAAGTGCTTTTCTGGACCAGGGCCCAAATGAACGGAGGTGTTTTGAATGGCACAGATGGGATTTTTCTTCCTTCTCTTTGTTTTTGCCCTGACAGTGCCCTCTTAAATGTAAATAACTGCACACTGATGACCTGAATTAAGGTCTGACCTGTACAGACATGGAAGAACAGTTTGCTTCACAAGAATTATCCTTACTCCCCACTCAGTCTGGTGACCGGGGGGACATTAGGCTGTCTTATTTCCAGCTACTGTCTTGTTCTATTTATTTTGTTTCGCAGAGGAAGCATCTCTCCCTAGATCCGGCACTACGTTCCATCCCTTTGAAACATGCATTCTTCAACACAAGCCAGGAGTCGGGATCCAGCTCCTACAGTCTCAGCCCAGAGGGTTTTGATGTCAGCAGCGGTGCAAAGAAACGCAGAGATCTGCTCGCCGGTCAAGCAGAGACCTTCACAGCCACTCTGAAATGAGGATGTCGTGACCCAAACCGGGCACGGCAGTCTGGAGTTACTTGGGAATTCCATTCCCCCTCTCCCCACCTCTTCCCCACAGGAGGAGTTCCTCTGAGGAGCGGGACCCACAGCCAGAAAAGCCGGGCAATCCCTGCTCCTTCTCCAAGCAAGCTGGTCAGCACAAAGAAACGAAGACTGTGCCATGCTGCCTGAAATCATCCACCCCTTGGAGCTCCTCCTTTTGGAAAATAACAAAAAAGCCATAATCCACTGCCCCAAAACAACCCCCTCCTTTTTTTTTTTTTTTTTAAGCAATACGGAGAGAAATAAGCCACCTCATCCAGTGACTGCGTACCAGGCTGGATCTCCGGTGGTTTCCGGTCACTCCTGGTTCAATCCGTGGTATAACTGGAAGACAAAAATCAAATCATTTCATTGCTGTGGGGTTTTCTTCCACCTCCTACCTATAGGGCTGCCCATCCTACCTGGACTGCAGGCATTTTAAAGGTAAGACCTGGTTCTCCCTAAGCGGATGTACAGCTACTAGCACTAGCATCATCAGCTCTGCTTCAGTGCTAGGGACAGTTCTGCCATTACTGGCACTGAAAGAGACCACATACTTTTAAAAGCAAAGTCTGGTTTCAAGCCACATCTTCATCTGATAAAGCTTTCCGGTGTTAAACAGAGCTGTGTCCAACTGATACCACCTTCCAGTCTCATCACTGGAAGGTGGGGGTTGGTTTTCATGTTCAAGGGAAAGTTCGGACTCGCACGTTGCAATTAGAGTGGGGTTATAAAGCTTTTCTTTAAATGTGCCCTAAACGTGGAGTCTGTGGTTATTACAGGTTCCCAGAGAACCTACATCAAACAGCTTCATCTTTTCGCCTTGGCGACAGGCCGGCTGGGAGTCACGTTCCTCCTCTCTCTAGTTATAGAAACAACGCTCTTTGAAATGCAGATCCTTTGCCGCTTTGTTCCCTGTATCTTTGTAGGTGCCAGATTTACAATGCCCTCGCGTCTCGATTGCTGGCCTTACACCGAGGCCTGCTGTACCATCCGTGTATATTAAGGTCTCGTTAGCTTTCAGGACTGTGCGAACCACAGGAGCCTTTTACCTCCCTGAGCCTCTCCTGAATGACACTCAGGCAGGGAGACATCATGATGCAAAGCCCAAGGTCAGCAGCAGGCGGGCAGACCGCGGGATACTTTTCGAGATCAGCTCTTGGTTCAGAAAGCTGCTCTGGGGAGCAGTTAGCCCTGCAGCCAGCAACAGGGAGATCATGAAGGGGAGCAAATTCCTGTTCATGCACCAGCAGCTGGAGAAATTGGCACCCCTCTGGGCACAGTCATCCGCTCAGCAACTGGCAGCCACCCCTCCAGAGAGTTTTGGGCGGCTATGAATTCGGGATCACCTAGGCGGTCCTGAGCTGCTTGGGACTACAGGACTGCATGGGGCCCTAGTGAGGGGTGCCTAGTGCCCCTCAGGCACAGCGGCTAAATGATAACCCCACTTTACAGAGGGAGTCCCAAACCTGGAGAGATCATGGTTCGTCCTGCTGCCCTAGTCGCAGCCTTCTCAAACACATCACCCTGCTTTTCCAGCCCACAAGCCATTTTGTGCTCTCTGCAGCAGCCCAGCAGGCAGTAGCTGGCAGCGCTTTACCCCGAACTCTCCCCCAAGGTCCTAGGGCTGGTGGCCTCCCAGTGAATGCTGTGGCTGCTCTCCTCTTGAGCTGCTGGGGGAACGTGGCTTGCAGTCCGTTGGCAAGCACCTCACACTTTTCAGTTATACACAGGCCAGCTCCCATCGCGAGGAGACGAGCCAGGAGGAAATGCCACTAAAGTCAGTGGAGTCGTGCTGCAGGGCCTCTGGAGCGAGCAAGAGATGCGAACCCTGGCCTGCACACATCATCTGGGCAGGGTTTCTGATGACTGTCCCAAGCTGGCTCAGTCTTTACTTAGATTTATGGCAGGTTCCATCCATTGCCAAACTAGCAGGCCATGTTTACAATTAAGAAGGATACATTTAAAGAAAAGAAAAAAAGACACATCTCACCACAAATATAACAGCTTGTACCGGCCACTGCCCCCTCAATGGAAAGCTGCTCTGAGATCTAGTCCCCAGATGCCACCACAAAAGCCACACCACACAGCCTCGAACACAACAAAGATCAACCATCAAATGAGTAGCCTCAGTTTAAACTTCTGCAAAGCTAGGACCTTAATGATACGTGCGCTTTGAACCCTCAGCCCTCAGCATCTCACCAATAATGCACCGCAGAACAGGACAGCTGTGTCGCCAAGGCTGAAATCCTTTGGGGCGCAGCCAGATCCCAAGACTTTGGCAGCTATTAGCCAAGAAAAAGGACTCTAAGGGGCGGTTTCTGATCCAGCTCCCAGATTAGGGGAGCAAACCCTTTTCACTGCCTGCCCTCCTCCCAGGCTTAGGGCAGCTGAAAACAGCAGCCCAGGGCTGGCAGGATCTGTGGCATGGTCAGCCTCTCCCTCCCTCCCAGGATTTCGGGTAAACCAAAGGGACTGGAGACACAGCTATGCCCCCATGCACTGCAGAACCAGCCCAACACCCTGCAACAAAATACAAGTCCAAAAGCCACCATTATAGTGTGGCATGGGACATAAACAAGGAACATTAGTGGCACTACAAATTTCCTAGGGCCTTACAACAGCAGGGGAACTGTTTCAAAAAACTCTGTGAGGTCTGAGGAAGGAACCCAGGCACCATAAGGAAGACAAATAAAGCCCAGGGCTCCCTATCAGCTGATCAGGGAAATTTCTTCCTGCTCCCAGATGGGTCTCCAGCTGTGACCACTCTCCAGCACCTCAGAGAGGCACAGGAGCAACACCAACCCCAGAAGCAAAATTAGACATTAATGGAGAAGAGAATTGCCTCCTGTGCCCATACAGGGGACAGCTGAGGCCCTGAAATATGGGATTAACATAAGAAAAAATGGCACCAGAAAAGATCAGTCCAGTTTCACTGCAACACAACAGATATCCAAGGACTCTCCTCTCTGGCAAGACTCTGAACGAATAATGAATTTCTGTGACTACTGAGAACTACCTTCAAACAGTGGATGTTCCTTCCCACCTACAATCCCTTCTGAAGGCCATTCCAGAATTGCCTTCTTCAAGCCTCACTAATTGCTTCTAAAATCCAGCCTAAATTTATTTACGACCAGCTTACAACACAGGGATCTTTCTCTAACAAGGTCCTTACAAAGCCCACAGCATTGATCACTGGATGTCTTTTAAACTTTACCAGGGGGTTAACACTAATCCCATTTAATATAAAAATCCGGGATGCAGCCAAAGTGTATGCCCCGTCTTCATGCAGGGACCCTCAGTAAGATCCCTCCTTTCTGCAGCCCCCCTGGGTAAAACAGGGAAGGAGAGTGGCTGAGCCTCTTAAGGCCTGATCCAAAGCCCCTGCAAGTCAAAAAGACATATACAGACTCCATGGCTGGAATGCCATAAAATGTTTATATCACCTACGCAGAGGCTATTTTGGGCTTGCCTGCTGTGGAGTTCAGGCCAGCTGAGAGCAGAACCTGGCCCTTCCCTTATACAGCGGTTGACACCAAGCAAGGAGAAACTTATCCATCCAGATACCTGGGCTAGAAGGAGGTGCCCGTTATCTATATGGCAGGACCTATGCGGGAGCCCTTCCAGCCTGTACTGGTGGGGCTAAAGCTGTTTGTCAAAATCCCTGCCAATTGCAAGTGATTTCTACCTCCCACTTTTATACCAGGAAGGACCACTACGTTTCTGTGGCCTTTTGGAAACTTTATAAATAAAGAGTCAGAGAGTATCAAGGGATTTGCAGCTGTGAGAGCCAACGGTGGAGGGAAACGCTATCAATCTCCAGGAGTAGATGCCAAGGGGCTGAAAATTGGTGTCAGTCCCCCAGGACCTCCCAGAGATATGCTTAGTGACAGGGGCAGCTGGGGATCTGGCCTCTAGAAGAATGCAATAGAAAAACAGCATGCCTGAACCATGTTTTATAAGGCCACGGGAATTCAGGGGTTCCTTACACCCCAGTAAAACTTTGGAATTTAGCTGCTCTGTGATATGGTTGGAACATTTTCCTTGATCTTTTATTATCCTGGTAAATAATTTATTGGGACAGCCATTTTAAAAAGTCCCATAAAAGACCTATAAAACACATTTATCATGAAAAAAACTCCTCAGCTCCAACCAACAAGCTGAAAACTTGTTCATATACTTCACTGCACATAAACTAACCAATGCCTTGTGACAGCTTTAAGCTTTTTAACAGCTCTCTCCCTGCTGCTCTTTATTTCCATTTTTCTCTATGTGATTTCGGAGAAAAAAGAAAAAAAGAAAAAAGAAAAAAAACAGCAACAGAAGAGCTTTCTGCTTTTGGACAGATATTGACAATTGGGGACTGTCCTTCGGTTTTCCTGACACCCAACAACTTTATCAAATGGTTCCTCTTTCACACAGCAAGTCCAACACAAAACTGCGGCTATTTGGCATGGTTATACCTCTCCGATATGGGAAGAATCGTAGCATAGGACATAGGGACTGGCAGCCTTACGCAGAGGGAAGGATGTCCGCATGACTGAGATGCTAGTGCCCTGCATAAGCACACCGCAGCCCCAATTGCTACAGAAGAGCGTAAGGCAGCTGAGGACACTGGAGAAGAGAAGGTATTCACCAGGAGACTATAAGCACCATTCTTATAGCCTCCAAGCAGTAAAACACTCATGGCAACAGCCACTTGAGCCTAATATATTTCACAAAGGAGTTAGACGCAGGTTTGTATTCAACCCTCCTCCCACTTATGCTAGCTTAAATCAGAAATGATTCCTTTACAGCCTATACTCAGGGTATAAACTGGCAAGAACAAAACAGCCCTCGTAGGAAAGCAACCTTGAGCCTGTGCCGGAATCAGCGCTGGCGGTGACACCCCGCATCAGAGCGCGGCAGGATGCCCGAGGCTCCACGGGAGGCCAGTCAGGGCAATTAAGGTCTGTTAGCCCCTCGGGGCCCTGACAAGATCACCAAGAGTTTTTTGTCTGGGCACATGCCTCACTGGGCAGCGAGGACGCTGGCCGTTCAGGGTGCTCAGAAACACCTTCACCCTAGAGAGCTCTTGCTCGTAACCAAATCCCCGGTTTTCACCAAGGCAATGCCATCAGCAGTGCCCCACAGGCACTCAAGAGCTCCCAATGACAAACTGGAGGCCTGGCAACACAGAGCTCCAAGGTAGATGACTTCAACAGCAAACACTGGATCTGAAGAGTGTTTAAGGCCATCTCTTCCAAAGGGGCAGGCCCTCAACTCCTCCCTGCAGCTGCATGGGGCTTAGTCACTGCGCTTGGGAAAGGGACTGGCATTGGCAGCATTCATAAGGCACGTGACTGCTGTCTTCTTGCTTGCAGAGCATTGGGGTCCTTTTTTGTGCAAGAAAGATTTGAACAAAGAGAGAATCCAAGAGGAGGGATGAGGAATGTGTTTTCCCACCAAACGCATGCGGCATCCCATGTACCAAAGCTTTCTGTTGCTCCCTTGGACCTCACAGGACCCAGTCAGACGAAGCCTTGTCAGCAGGACAAGACCTCAGCCTGCTGCCAGAGCACAAAGCCAAAACCCAAACCGTGTTTATTGCTATGAATAGATGGCTGGTGCCAGACAGTCACAGCCTCAAAAGCAGAGCAATTCACATCCCCCTGCACTGTGCCTGCAAACCCAAATCTGCATCAGGGACAGCTTTGCCCTGCAAAATGCCAACAAAAAGAAGTGTCCTGGCATGGGGCATCTGATCTTGGCACCTGGGAATTGACCGGGTTGTGCTTCTCTTCTTTCCAGGAGCGACGGAAGACCTGGGAGCCTTTCTGCCATGCTGAAGAGTGGATCGTCAAACCACCCAGAGAAGGGGAACGAGAAAGAGCAAGCTTGGCTCTCTCGCAGCACCTCCCGAAGCCCTCGCTCTCCGTTGACCTTGCAGTTGGCCAGCTCTCAGCCAGGGAACCAGAGCAAAACAAAAACACTCCCACCAGAGTTTTAGCCTTTGTTCAGCTGGATCAGGAGCAGCTTTTCGGGCACTGCTGGGGTCAGAGAAGGGCTGAGGATTGTTCAGTTCCTCTATCTCCTTCCCCAGTGCAAGTTAGGCAGCAGGAAACTTCTTCTAATAGGAGCATGAATGCTCCGGGCAGCCATGCTCTGACAAGGGAGAGCACAGTCCTTCCACACACAGTCAGCAGAGCGGGCCATCAGAGTGCTGCCAAAGTGCAGAGGAGCCCCAGCGCGCACCAAGCCTGCTCCAGATGGTATCCATCAGAGGGAGCTGGGAGCTGCCTAGGTAAGAGCACAACTGATGCATGCTTCGGCTTTTCCCCATCACCGGGCATCTCCAAAAACCCTTATCCCAGCTCATACTGCAATACAGCAGTGATGCAATTCATTAAAACGCCCTTTCACGACAGTCACATGCTGTGCTCCCCACTTTGCTCAGCTTCCCTTCTGCCTTCCCAAAACCCACATGAGGCACTTGTGCTACAGCTGCTTTCATACTGCTGTGAGCCAAAATGCTCCCATCCCCGCTGGGGACTGGACTCCCATTCCCTGTCATAACAGCTCTCTGCCTCCACCGCTCGCTCTACAGAGAGATCAGAAGTCCACAGCAAACTTCAGCAGTCTGCATGGCCATATGATGAAGGAGAAGGCTACAAAAAGAGGATCCAGTGACCAAGGCAGGTTGGGGCTGGGCTGCCTGCACGTTGGGCATCACTTTTGCCCAGCTTTAGTGCCCCCCTTGCTGTGGGCACACTCACATGGCACATGAGCTCATCTTGGGCTAGTAAAGGCAGCCCAGCTGGACAACCCAAGTACCTACCATCCAAGGCTGGTCAGCACAGGTCCCAGTGGTGTATGCCATCTTGGATGGGGGCCAGCAAGGATGCAACGTGCACAGCGGCAGAGCAGGCCCATCGGAAGCGTTTCCCTTCTTCCTCATCACTGAGGGAAGCTTCGTCATTACCGCTAATGGAAGAGAACAAAACGGACACCGTGAACTGCAGCACAGATTAGAGTCCCTTGGGGTTTTCCTCGGACAGTGACACAGCGCAATGCTGCAAACCTGAACTGATCCCTAGGGCCTTTGGGGCCTCTCCTGACTTATTCAGACCTGCAGTCCCTTTGGCTGCCACTTCCAAACTCACAAGCACATTAGTGGTTAACTCTGCAGATTTAAAAGTCAAACCCTGCCACAGGAAATTAAAAGATAATGCAAGGAATTATTTAAAAAATTAATCTTTATTACTCTCCATTCCCAAGCTGATAATAAAGAAATGTGTTCCTCATGCAGCCTCTATAAAAAACTGGTTATAAAGCAGGAGAAGAGAGGAAAGCAAACGCTTAAAAAAAGAAATGCCTTTGCACTCCACCCTGTCTGCCTGCCACAGCCTTTCCTCCACACCTGCGTGCCAGCTCCCAGCAGACTCGAACCCAGTCAGCCCCTTTTACCCTGCTAGGCAGTGATTCCCCAACTCAGCGCTCTCCCCCGAATCATCTCCTTCCCTTTGTCCCCCTGTTTTACATCTCCAGGAAAGCAGCAACCCCTGGTCTAGAGATTAGACTAGAAGGTAGTTTTAATGGCACACTTTCCTTGCTCCAGGTATCTCTGAGCACTGTATAAAACAGGATGAATTATAGCTCATTACTGAAAGGGCAGGCATTTCAGAAGTAAACAAAGCAGCTATTATGGAAGCCAGCAATAGTTCCACAACACTGAAGCAGGGCTAACGCGAGCAGGAAACCATGCCTGAAAGAGAGGTCAAGGATCTTTGTCTCTGTCTGAGCCACAAGAAGCCTGCATAAGAGGCTGAGAGGCAGGTGGCAACTGCAGTGGTTTATTCAGAAGATGCTTCTGTCTAGAGTCATGCTTAAGCAAGGATAGTGGTCCTTGGTTCTAGCTGGTGCTTGAGCCCATGGAGCCAGGGATGGGATTGCAAACCACCCAGCAAGGAACACTCTGCATCACGACAGCAGGCATCAGCTAGCTTGATAGCTCTGGTAGTACCAAAAGCCACCAGAGACAAGCAAGAGCACCCAGTCCAGCACAGGAGAGAATGAGAAGCAAGAGCCATCCAACCCACCAGCTGTGTCCACACTGCAGCAGAAGAAACAGCCATGAGCACAGCTCCATTTCCCTCCAGCCTGGCTGCCAGATTAAGAATGTGTCTGAACTGGACCTACTCCTGTGCATGTACCTGCACAGCTCCTCCCAAGAGGTGCCCTGGTTCTGGCAGAAGCACAGCCAGGCCTGGAAGGAGCAAGGACTTCACAAAAGGAGAAGCCAAACCATCAAGGGCTGCTACGTCGCAAGACCAGTCCAGACAAAAGAATCGCATCCCTTAGTCACACTGAAGCAGACTCACTTCCAGAGGTGGAGCTGTGGCAAAGGAGCAGGTCTAGGCCCCAGCAATCCAGGACACATGGCTCCACATCCTCTCCTCACTGGGGCAAAATCTGTTTAGCTCTCCAAGACAGGGGAGAGAGCTGGGTGCTGAAGACAGGCTGGAAACAAAGCAGCAAGGAACTGGTGCTGGGGGCGGAAGAAGAAGAAAGGAAGACAGGCAAACAGGCTTAAACGTGAAGAAACAGAACCCCTGGGACAGAACGTGTTTGCAGGAGCCGTTAGCCAGCACACCTGTTTTCCCAAGCTGGGGGTAGAAGTGGAGGTGGGTGTTGCACTACAAAGAGGCAGGAGGTGGCTTTCCAAGGTGGTTTTGACTATGATTGATGGTGCTGTGCTGTGTTCTCACTGATGTAGAAAATTAGAGAGAGATCGCTTCAGATATTGGCCCATCTGAGACACTAGTTGTGTCCATCTCCTGTATACAGGCGTGTCTCCTGGGAGCTCTCCCTCCAGCTTGTAGGCTCATTATTCAGAGTGTTGAGCTGGGAAAAGCAATACTACTACTACTTTTTTTTTTTTTTTTAAACTCCTTGATCTTGTTATTCTTGGAAAGGTGTAAGGCACTGATTTTCTCACTTAGGTACTTGAGAGAAAGTTCAATTTCCCCTCAGCTAGGAAAGATTACCCCTCAACTTTTTTTTTTTTCTCTCTCTCCTAGCCCAAAGCGGGAAGAGGTCCTAGAAAAGAAAGGAGCCATTTTTTGGCTGGAAATAGCTCCCTTAAAAACAGTGAGTCATGCTCCACCCTGCGCAGATCTGATAGTTGGGAACCACAGTGAGCAATACTGCTGTGCTAATGTAACCTTGCACTAATGTCCTCCTGGCAGGACAGTCCCCTCCTGGCTTCCTATCCCTTTGCCATTTAACCAGTTGCTGTTTTTCTTTCCCTTTATTGTGGCTGCTTCTATCCCTCCATTGTGTCTCTGCCAGATGCCATAATGTTTTTAAAATGGTCTTTCCATGGTCTTTAGAAAGGCCCATCTGCTTCCACGTGAAATGCAGGACTTAGCCATGGGAGATGATAATCCCAGGGTCCAGATCAACATAGCCTGGCGGGTCTTTGGGAGCTTTGTCATGCTGACAACCAGGAGACTACTGGGCCCTTGCCTTAAAACAATGCTGTCAGTAGTGGGCAACTAGTTCTTCCCCGTCAGGAAAGACATCTGATCTCATTTCCCTTTAGTGCCAATTTTGCCTGGGACAGGAGATAAACCTCAAATCTATTCAACCTGATCTACTACCTCAAGACCTCTGTCTGCATCCCCAACAGCCCTATGGCAATGATGCCCATGCCGCTAAGTAGCATCTGAAACGATTAGGCCAATGTTTAGCCTTTGTTTTTGATGGGGACTGCCGAGGCTTCCCTCATCTGTCTCCAGCTAGTGATTCCTCTTACTCTCAGGTCCGGGCTCATCCTCGAAGCCAAGGACTTCCAGTAAGATGCTCCAGCCATTGGGCTGCACAGCTCTCAACAGTGAATCTGCAGATGGCCTAGTGACAGGAAGTGGAGATCCAGCAAGAAATGAGATCATCTGCCACTCTTCAGGCACCAGCTAAGGAGTGGCAACCCATCTCTTCAACTGTGCTCAGACAGAGCCAGCCAGACTCACACAGACTCACTTACCCATCAAGACACCTGGAAGCAGAAGAAGAACTTCCCACCAGCATCCCCCAAATGCTGAACAGCGAAGCAAACCTCTCTAACTTGGCGTTAAGAGTCACTAGGTGACTGCTGAGAGCTGGCAGTAATGGTCATGGGCTTGATTTTCCTCTTGTCACATTAAACAGAGATGGGAGCGGGAGCCAACAAGCGCCAGGTGACTCACTGTAGCCCAGGGCTGAGTATGAGGCCACCAGTAGCCTGGGACAATACCACCACTCTCAGGCAGTACTCCTACTTTTCACCAGCTGGCCCACTGGGTTCAAAACTTCCCTGCTTTGAAGGTCATCACCCAACATGGATATCCTGGCCCCTAAATTAGGGAGCATTATTGGGCACCCTCAGGCGGTGCCTAGCATTCTGGTTGACAGAGGCTGAGGGGTTTTACCTTGGGGCCCTTCCTCACAAAGAGACAGCAGCTAAACCCAGACCGAGGTAAAACTTGGCTCCTGCATTAAAAGAACAACTGTGCCACCAGATACAGGCCTGTCAGGGCTCAGAACATCCCCTGGATCACCAGGCACCAAAGGACGGCAACAAACAGTAAACACCACATTGAACCCAAAGCCCGAGGCACTCAATGAAATCACTGGGGGAACAAGACTGGTAACAAAATACCCCTCACCATCCCTCCCACATCCACCAGAGACTGACCCCAGCGCCTGCTACCAGTTCTCCCAATGGTGGTTTATTATCTGTCCTCTAAAAGACCCTTCTCGGGGTGCAGAACAATCTCCACACATCCCCCTTCTCCATCTGCCAACAGCTTCCCTTCACTGAGGCTGTGCCTCCCCCAGCCTCTGCTAATGGTTGGAAATTAGCATTAAAATGATAGCTTGCTATTAACGGTGCTTCAGCTCCCTATCACGCTCTAGGAACAGCAAATGACAGGCTGTGATTTCCCTACCGCGATGCAGGGGAGAGGGAGCAACAGCAGTTAGAAGTGCTGAGGTTACCCAGGGTGCTTGGAAAGTTTTAGACTCATCTCTTCCACCCCAGCAGCCCCTTCCATCCTCAATCCCTGTCGCGCTCAGGCACACACCGGCAATCCTACAACAGATGGCACCTGGGCAGGAAAGCAGACAAATTGGCTCCCACCTGCAGGAGCACTAAGAGCTTTCAAAGCAGACTAGTGCTCACGCGCCAAGAGCCCTGCGGTGTGGAGATGCCAGAGGAATCTGCCGTCGCTCACCTTCCTCCCTTCTGTGACGGTCGGTCGCCTCTCAGCACACTCTTCCTGCATCTTTGCCTAGTCAGAAGCACACAGCTGGCTCCTCCCCGGAGCCGGTGGCAGGAGGCGACGGTTGTTGCCACCCAAGTGAGGCGCTCAGCAGTAATTCAGATTTAGCATCAATGGAGCGATGCTTTTTTCATGTCAGCACAACGCTATGGTTTGGGGGCCTTGCAACTAGCCTGAAGCAAGAGGGTTTTCTGGAGCCCCTGCTGGACCTCCATCTGCTTGTCAAAAAACCAGCTCACCTCCAGCTGCCTGCTATCTCCTCCAGCCAAACGGGGGGCCCACCCTCCCAGAAACTTCCCCTCCCAGAAACTTCCCTTCCTTGACCAGATAGCTGTGGCAACAGCATGGAGAGATTCATTTCGTTTTCAGCCTGCCTGCTTCTCTGAGCACATCTGGCTTAAAGCTTTTTAATACGTTGAGACCAGGAAAGTGACTGATGTACAAGACAGTAGGAAATCCACAGTCAGGACGGAGGTGGCCAAAGCCAGTGGTGTCAAGGTAGGTCGTTATTTCCCTTTGGATACCTGGGTGACCATGCGTAATTACCTCATTGGAGCATCTCACAGCCAGCTGCGTTTCTCCTCACAGAAGTCCTCAGTGCTGGCCATCCATAGCGGCAAAAGCGGACTTGGCGAGACCGGGACCAAGACCAAGATGTGCAGGAGCTTTCAGGTGCTTACAACACATCTTGCGTGGAGTCGCTCAGCCCTGACTGCAGGAGCTCGTGGCATGGCCCAGAGTGGGTCCTGAGGGAACATGCACATAGACATCTTGGCACATACGAGGTTACACCTGCTTGGGTTTCTAAAAGTAAGCATTCCTCTGCCCATGTCTATTAAAGGCCCAGGGGGTCCTGATCCTACCGGTGTGCTCAAATTCACACAAGCAGGCCAGAGCCCTGCACAACACTGCTGAAAACTTCCATTCAAAAAACATATTTTAAGCCCTGTATTTAAAGTTGGATAACCTCCCACCTCTCTCCAAAAGCACCTGGCACCAGCAAGTGAAGTCAAGCATCCTCAAACCCCAGTCTGCCTATTGCCTTGTAATGGTCTTGGGAGGTGAGATGCAAAAGGCAGAGAGGAAAGACTGGGAGGAAAAAACAGGGTAAA